TGAACTGTTATAACACTTAGTTTTAATTTTTTTTTTTTTTTTCAGTTTTAGCTGGGGCTGGGCTTGAACCTGCCACCCCTGCTATATGGGGCTGATGCCCTACTCCTTGAGCCACAGGTGCCACCCTTAGTTTTATCTTTGGCATCATTGTGGAAGTTAGGTTTAGTCCTTAAATTTCTGAGTTCTTACTTTTCTTTTGATCCATTGTGATAGTCAGCGTGAAGAATAGGTTGAAGTATTTCCTGTAGAGCTGGTCTTGTGGTGAGTTTCCTCAATGTTTGCATATCAGTAAATGATTTGATTTCTCTGTCAATTTTAAAGCTTAGCTTAGCTGGATATAGAATTCTGGGCTGGAAATTGTTCTGTTTAAGTAGATGAAAGGTACATAACCATTGTCTTCTTGCTTGAAAAATTTCATTAGAGAAGTCTGCAGTCACCCTAATGGATTTGCCCCTGTAGGTCAACTGGTGCTTACTCCTGGCAGCTTGAAGAATCATTGCTTTTGTCTTGACTTTGAACAGGTTCATCACAATGTGTCTTGGAGAAGCTCTGTTAGAATTAAGGCAACCTGGGGTCTGATATCCCTCTGAAAGGAGTGTGTCAGAATCTTTGGTGATATTTGGGAAATTTTCATTTATAATATTCTCTAGTATGATTTCCATTCCTCTGGGGCATTCTTCTCCCCTTTCTGGGATACCTATAACTCATATGTTTGAATGCTTCATAAAGTCCCATAATTCTGTCAGTGAGTGTTCTGCTTTTTCTCTCTTCTTTTCTACCTCTTTAACTGTCTGAGTTATCTCAAGAGCTTTGTCCTTTACCTCTGAGATTCTTTCTTCTGCATGGTCTAATCTGTTGTTGATATTCTATTACATTTTTAAGTTCCCTAATTTACTGCTTCAGTTCCTTTAGCTCTGCTATATCCTTTCTATATTCTTCATATCGTTCATCTTTTATTTGATTCTGTTTTTGGATTTCCTTTTGGTTATTTTCCACTTTATCAGCAGTTTCCTTCATTGTTTCCATCATTTCCTCCATTGTTTTCATCATCTGTATTCTAAATTCCCCTTCTGTCATTTCTACCATTTCTTTATAGGTGGAATCCTCTGCAGTAGGTACTTCACAGTCCTTTGGGGAGGGTTGCTCTGGACTGGTTTTTCATGTTGTCAGGATTTTTCTGCTGATTCTTCCTCATGAGTGTTTTCTTTTATCTGTTTCCTTGTCCTAATTTTCCTTTCACTTCCTCTTGCTCTTTAAGTTACTGGGCTTCTGGCCTAGGGTTTTGATGAGTCCATTTCTCCACTGCTTTTGTCCTCCTCATGGGGTCCAGAAGGCTCTTGATGACTCCCTGTGTCCCCAAAGGGATGTTTTTGGGCAGATCCCACCAGCCAGAGATGCCTGAATTCTTCTCTCCCCAGTCTCACTGTGCCCAGTAGCAAGGAAGCTGTTATTCAGCTGCTATCTTGCTCCTCCTTCACCTTTATTCTTTGAAGCTTTCCAGTATGCTATATTTTCTCATGCCTGAGATTTCAATAAAAGCCAGTGAGGAATGTCAGTAGGGGCCACACATTTGTCTTTCTATATGGAGGCCTTCCTGGTGTTGACCTCCCTCAATTCAGTGCAAATGAACTGAGTAGGTGTTATTTATTTTGCATTGAGTTGCACTGACAAATTACTTTGAAATTACAATTAGCTCTACTGGTGGGATTTGAGGATGCAATGTCTCACAGGAAGTTCTCAGCTCCCAAACATGGATCTCTGGGCTTCTTGCCTTGAAAGTGCAGCAGCAGGCATCATGGGAAGGTGAAGAGCTTCCCCAAGGATGATCCATCTAAGCCTGTCCACCTCACACCCTTCCTAGGATACAAGGCTGGCATGACCCACATGGTGTGGGAAGTCAATAGGCCAGGATCCAAGGTGAACAAGAAAAAGTTGTAGAGGCTGTGACCATTGTGGAGACACCACCCATGGTGGTTGTAGGCATTGTGGGCTATGTGGAAACTCCTCGAGGCCTCCAGACTTTCAAGACCATCTTTACTGAGCATATCAGTGATGAGTGCAAAAGGTGCTTCTATAAGAACTGGCATAAATCTAAGAAGAAGGCCTTCACCAAATACTGCAAGAAATGGCAGGATGATGATGGCAAGAAACAGCTGGAGAAGTATTTCAGCAGCATGAAGAAGTACTGCCAAGTCATCCATGGCCGAAAAGCTAGACTGGGCCTGGGAGAGGCTGGAGCAGCAGGTCCCTGTGAACCAAGTGTTTGGGCAGGATGAGATGATTGATATCATCGGGGTGACCAAGGGCAAAGGCTACAAAGAGGTGACCAGTCATTGGCATACCAAGAAGCTGCCATGCAAGACCCACTGAGGACTGTGTAAGGTTGCCTGTATCAGGGCATGGCATCCTGCCCGTGTGGCTTTCTCCATGGCACAGGCTGGGCAGAAAGGCTACCATCACCACACGGAAATCAATAAAAAAATTTATAAGATTGGCCAAGGCTACCTTATCAAGGATGGCAAACTGAACAAGAACAATGCCTCTACTGATTATAACCTGTCTGACAAGAGCATTAATCCTCTCGGTGGTTTTGTCCACTATGGTGAAGTGACCAATGATTTTGTCATGCTGAAAAGACTGTGTGGTGGGAACCAAGAAGTGAGTGCTCACTCTCTGCAAGTCCTTGTTGGTACAGACAAAACAGCAGGCTCTGGAGAAGATTGACCTTAAGTTCATTGACACCACCTCCAAGTTTGGCCATGGCCCCTTCCAGACTATGGAGGAGAAGAAAGCATTCATGGGACCACTTAAGAAAGACCAAATTGCTAAGGAAGAAGGAGCTTAATATCAGGAACAGATTGTACAGCTGGTGGGATCTCAATAAAAGTTGTTTTCTAATGACATAAAAAAAAAGAAATTACAAATTACTTGAAGAACACAGAGGAAGCTGCTCTGTGAAGCAGTCATGAGGAATCTGTGAAGAAGATTCCACAGACCACTGATCTCCCCAAGCCTAGCAAGGGGAAAGGATGTCTGCTCATCCCAGTAAAGGGACTGATGGGAGCCAAAGGACTAGTCTTGGACTCCCATGACAAGATCAAATTTAGGGACTGCTCCATGGGATATCCTTGCATTGCTGCTTTGCTTTTACTTTCTCTGCCTCTTTCTTTCTGACTGATTTTTCCTGACTGATTCATGTTAATATAGGACAATAAGACTTGTGTGAACAATACTCCTGTGCTCCTGTCACTTCCAGAAGGAGGAACCAGCCAAGAGGAGGTATTTATTTTTTTTCAATGCTTTCTTTTTACTGTATGTCCTGCTGAGGTTTAAGCTTGCTGGACTTTCTTGTCTATATTCTGCCTCATCTTACTGTCTTCTTTTTCCAGATAAAGTGTCTCTTTTAACTCCCTCCTTTTCAACTTTGATTCTAACACTTTTTCAAAGTGTTAGATAAAGGGACAATTTATCCTGGCAGTGCACTTCATCTCCCAGTCCGATATTTTGCATAAACTCCAAAAGCTTGTAAAAGGCCTTCAGATTCCACAAGCACAATTATAAACCTGGCCTTCAGTGGTCTTTGATAACTAGATAGAGACAGACAGGAGGAAGAGATGAGATGGGGCTGGCAGAAGGCCTAGAGAGCAGAAAGAAACTTTTTAAATAGTGGCTAGCACTATGGTAGAAATTCTTCAGATGCAAAGGTACCCTAGAGGCTCAGGCAAGAAGACATCAAGAAGGTACCTTGCTCTGAGGGTTATAGTCTACTTCCTCTGTAGCCAGCTGGGTCTCTGGTGAGAAATGCACCAGGGAGCAGAGCTCACATCTGGAACTGGTTGAGCACCCTCTGAGCGGCATCCTCCACACCTATGGACCTTCTTGAAGTACCTCATTCTAACAGACCCCAGGCTTAGAACAAGCTCAACTTCATCACACCAGAATGGCTGAGACTAAGGTAACACTCTCTCTGTTACAAGTAATCAAACTGATTTTAATAACACTAGGGCCACTTCCTCTGCTCTCCCTGAATTTTAGGACCTCTAATTTCCTCTTTGATCACCATCTCTGGAGTAGAAGGTAAAATACAAACCCCTATGTATCCTATAGCTTCTCTGCTACTGGGAGGCCAAGTCTTACCACCCTAACCAACTGCTTGAATGGAATCTCAAGGTTAAGTTAAGCATCTAACTCTTTTTTTTTTTTTGAGACCAAGTTGTCCCCCTGGGTAGAGTGCCATGGCATCATAGCTCACAGCAACCTCCAACTCAAGCTCAAGCGAGTCTCCTGCCTCAGTCTCCCAAGTAGTTGGGACCACAGACACCTACCACAATGCCTGGCTATTTTTTGGTTGCAGCCATCATTGTTGTTTGGCAGGCCCGGGCTGGATTCGAACCTGCCACCTTAGGTGTATGTGGCTGGCACCTTAGCCACTTGAGCCACAGGTGCCGAGCCAAGCATCTAACTCTTAATGTAACCTCAATTTAACTTCGAGTGCCATTGACTTATGTTTGAAGAAGGCTTCTCAGAGTCCACATGAAGGGATGTTCCTTTAAAGACCCTCTGAACTGATTAGAAAGCTAATCATGCAGGAGGCAGACCCTGAAAGCAGAGTCTGGCTATCTCTGGAATTTCCTGGAAGGGACCTTGGGAGTGGAGAAACAAGATAAGTTAATGTGCATTTCAGTTAAAGCTTGCATCTGTTTTTTACAGATGAACAGCTGAATAAGTTTTTATTCTTTGTATGGTTTCTTTGTATTTTTATCTGTCACCAGCTGGTTTTCTACTATCAAGTGTACATGTAGAACTTAGTGTTGTTAAGAGTATATAAGCTTGCAAGAAATAAAGTTAGGGTGCTACATGCCTGAGAGAGCTGTAGCCCTCCTCTTCTCAGTACGTTTTGACTGCTAGCCTTATCTCTGCGACTCTGGCCTGAACTATTTCCAGCAACACTTAACATTTCAAACTTTCTTTCTCAGGCTCTTGGATAAGCTTAACCAAGACTTTGTATATAACCCTCTTTTTTCTTTTTTCTAAGTTTGAAGTTAAAGTAAAAGAAACCATTAAGTAGGGGAGAGAGAGGTCTATAGAAGGACATGGGTATGAAAATGAACTTTTAGTAAGGAAGGATAAAAGAAAAGAGAATAATTTTGAATAGAAAGGAATCTCATTTGAATACTTTTGTCCTAAAGTAACTGATGTTTTATGAAAGAAAATTTAAGACAAAAATGAAAGACTTAAAAATATTGAAAGATTATTGTGTAAGTCATGAAGATTTATAAAGGGGAATTTAGAAACAATTTTGTATGTGATTAGGTTGGCCATAATGAAAAGGGAAGTTCTAGTTAAAACAAAGTTTTCTGTTCTGTTTGTAAAACACATTATGTTTGAAGCCTCTTGTATTTCTGTTCTTGTGCACATGGTTAAAGTAATGGGAAAATTCATCAAAAGTTCAGAACTCAAAGGGTCCATCTACTGTTATAAAGTTAAAATGCAAAATTTGTCAACCTGTTTGTCTTTTTGCCTGCAAAAAACCATGTTCTTGAGATAAGGTACCAGCCCACAGCAGAAGTCCCAAGGTAAGTTACTCACTTGGAACTAAAGAAAAAAAGAGTTTCCTTTTTTAATTGGCACTGCTCTGCCTGGCTCTTATAGTAACTGGGCATATTCTTAACAAATAGTTTCTTTTAATTTATAATGTATTCCAGAACTTGTTTTCTTCCCTTCTGTTTGTACTAGGAAAGTGGTTAAGGGAAGACTGTCAGATATTGACCAGTTCTAATTTTCAGACCCTGTATGTTCAATTGCATAAGAAGATTTATTTCTTCCCACTTGGAGGCTATCCACTTACAGATGCTGGTCACCACCAGGTGTCAGCATTTACAACAAACAGACATGCATCTGTATGAAAATGACAGTGCTTATGAACAACTACACCCCATTTACTATGGCCCTCTGGATGAACATCCACTCTTGCCCTGAAAGAAAGCTGATTGCAGTGCCCAACTGCTCACATCACCCCTTTTCAGTGAAGAAGCAGTCAGAACAGTAAGCAACTTTTTAACCAAAGAATTGGGCTCTGAAAATCAGAGGGGAAATGTTAAACTGGGCAGTTAGACATGAGCAGGGCAGGTAACAGATACAGGTAGGCTATTTTAGCAATTTTATACTAGCGTTGAGTCAGGAAGGCATGAGTTGTTACACCAAGTTCTCATGCTGAGTTCACTTGGGAATGGGGCTGATCAAGACCTTAAAAATCTATCTAATCCTTCCTTAAAATAAAAAAGGGGGACTATGTGGGGACAGGTTACAAGTGGATTCCTTTGGAATAGAAGTTAATCAGTGTCCAAGGAAATTTCTGACGTAGACAGATAGATGTGGTAATATGTTATACTAATTTGAGTTATTTTAAAAACAACCTGATTAAAACCCCTCTCCTATGTTTCTCTTTGATGGATTCTATCTGTTCTAAAAAACAAGAAGGGAGAAAATGTAGGACAGAGCATAGGGTTAAATAGTGCTAGGAGTAGGGACAGAGTGATTTGGGAAAAAGCCAAATATCACTGCTGGCTCTGAGTACTAAAACCAATATTCACTAGACTACTGTCTCAGCCCCAAGTCATATTAGCAGTGATAAGACAGAAATGCAGTAAACTATATGTGTTAGGAGTCCAATCATGCAGTTAAAAATAAACTCTTTTTTTTTTTTTAGACACAATCTCACTTTGTTGGCATCATAGCTCACAGCAACCTCAAACTCTTGGGCTCAGGTGGTGCCTGTGGCTCAAAGGAGTAGGGCACTAGCTCCATATGCCAGAGGTGGCGGGTTCAAGCCCAGCCCCAGCCAAAAACTGCAAAACAAACAATCAAACTCTTGGGTTCAAGTGATCCTCTTGCCTTAATCTCCCACGTACTTGGGACTATAGGCATCTGCCACAACACCTAGCTATTTTTTTGAAGATGGGTTCTGGCTCTTGCTGTGGCTGATCTCAAACTCCTGAGCTCAAGTAATCCTCCCATCTCAGCTCCCCAGAATGCTAGGATTACAAGCGTGAGCCACCATGCCTGGCAAACTCCATGTTTTTTAACCTTTACTCTCTCTTTGAGGCTTTCCACTGTACTGTATTTTCTCACGCCTGAGATTTCAATAACAACTGGTAAGGAATGTTGGAAGGGGCCACACTCTTGTCTCTCCCTGTGTGGTAGGGCTTGCTGGTGTTGGTCTCCCTGTGTCCCTCAGTTCAATGTAAATAGACTGAATAGGTGTTATTTATTTTGTGCCGAGTTGCACTGACATCTGAGTGACTATTTTCCTGATGGCCCATTGTGTTGGTCTGTGTATTGTACTGGTCTGAGTATTTCCTACAGAGCAAGTTTTGTAGGGGTAAATTTTCTGTGTTTTTGTGTCAATAAAGATTTGATTTCTCCATCAAATCTGAAGCTCACTTTTGCAGGATACAAAATCCTACGCTGGCAGTTATTTTATTTGAGAAGATTCAAAGTGGGAGCCCCTTCTCTTCTGGCTTGTAAAGTTTCAACCAAGAAGTCCATTGCCATCCTGATGGATTTTCCCTTGTAGGACAGTTGGTGCTTATGCCTAACTGCTTGCAGAATTTTCTCTTTCATTTTTGACTTTGGCTATCTTCATTACAATATGTCTGGGAGATGCTCTGTTTGAAATGAGATAACCTGGGGATTAATATCTGTCTAAAAGGAAAATGTCTGAATCTTTGGTGATGCTTGGGAGATTTTCAGGTATGATATCATCCCATAGGGCTTCCATGGCATGGTCTCTGTTCTCCTTTCGGGATACCTGTGTGTAATTCATATGTTTGTATGCTTTGTGTCGTCCCATAATTGTGTAAGAGATTACTCTGCTTTTACTCTCCACTTTTCTTCCCTTTTT